ACATGTGAGAACATTAGAGAGCATTAGAGAGCATGTGAGAACATGAGAGCATGTGAGAACATGAGCACATGTGAGAACATTAGAGAACATGTGAGAACACGGTTTTCTACACAAAGTCCAGGTGAACACAGACACCAGCCACTGAACAGACAGGAAGTCTCTAAGGTTGTGGTCATGACAGCTGGAGCTCCTCAGCTGGTTTGGGGTTAAAGAACACGTTTTGTTCTTTAATTATTCGTGAACATTATGGACACGTTCTTTCGTCCGTCTTATTTTGCTGCTGGAAATGATTTTGTTTGTTGTCGTCCAAACGTTTTAAAACGTAAAGAAGTCCAAGTTTGTGTGAAGGTAGCATCTCTTAAAGGAACGCACGTCGCTCGCTGCCTTCCAAACATCTGGCCCTTCTGCTGTCCCTCAGAGTACGGGATGGAGACGACTCTTAGCTACTACCACACTGAGCTGCAGCTCAAATATCTGCTGTTGATGTTCAGCTGCACATCCAAGGATTACTTAGAGTTTCATTAAAATCCTTGAACTGCTTCTTGAGATATTTTGCTAACAGGCAACACCGACAGATGTGTTTCCGTGGCTGCCTGCCTTTGATGGCAGCGGCTCACAATCTGCGTTTTGCAGTTTTTCAGCAACATGAGCTACAACTCGTGCTTCCACTGCCAGAACTCTAGCGGGCTTCTCTGGACTCTGTGGTTCTGATTCATGTTTTCGTTGTTGTTCACAAGATAAAACTGCAGACCTCACAGAGACAGACAAACTTTTAGGGGACAGGCACAAACACACGAAGGATTCGGTCTTCAGGTGAATAAATGCTGACAGGACGGAGAACAACGGTCTCGCTCTGCATCTCCATCACTTCCTGGTTCCTGCCAACCACTGCTCACTTATTCAACAACTCTTCATCATCCCAGTTTAGAGAAGATACTTTGTGCTTATTTTATAATTAATCATAAATCTGCTTCTGATCTCAACATTTTACAGTCCATTTACGGACTTGTCTCAATATAACAAAAGCAACAAAAAGGCACCGTTCTTTGTTCGTTGCCAGAGTTGTAGAAAAATAAGAACATCTTGGTTAAGATGAGCCTCAGTCCTTGCAGAGGGTTGAGAAGCCACGAGGTCGTTTCATCTGTGCAAACGTTTCTCACAGGCAGAGCTGCTTCGGTGGAAAACATCAGCAGCGAGTGTCAGCGCAGGCTTTTTGCTCTGCACAAGATGTCATGTTTGTTTCTTCATTTGGAAGCTGCACCATTTCATGGTTGACCTCCTGAAACAAGCTGGCAACACAAGCCCCGACCTTTCATCACGTCCTAAAGAAAGACCAGCTGCTGCCCGACATGGAAGACCACTCACATGGAGCTTTGTCTAAAATACAGACTTTCATGAAGTAATTGATTCATTCAGTTGGTGATCTACACTGCAAGAAAAAACTTGATCTTAGCAGTGCTCTCAAACTGCACGATCAATGTTCACCTTCCAAACTGGACCAGGAACCTTCAGAAGAGCTGTAAATCCTGCTGGATTATAATTTGATCTTTTTCTTATTTACAAGACAAGCGAGCAGGAAATCATCTTTCATGACTGCAGTAAAGATGATCTAAAGCTTTGGTCCACCAACGTTTCCATGCATGACCAGTGAAGAACAGCAGTAGGAACTTGTGACCCAAACCTTCTCTGGTTGAGCAAACGCTGCTAATGCGCCAATTTACCAAGAGCATACCAACAACTAGCCTAACAGTCAGCAGACTGCATTTAACCAAGTTTAAAGACGTTTTAGCCAAGACTAACTCTGTATTTTGCAATCGGCTAAGATGCTTCAGTTTCAGGGCTTTATAAATACACATTTTATTATTTTTACTGTGAATGAGAGGCCTTTGTGCTGCTGAGAGGTCACCTCTACCAAATATACAAAAACCCAAACTTCACGCAGCCACAGGCATTTTTTAATGCAAATAAAGATTAAATTTGAATAGTGTGCCGAGCATAGAGCCCTGTGTATCTCCAGGTTTACATTTTGTAATATGCATGCAAACGCTCTGCTGCCAGCTGTGCCTGAGAATCAAAGAACGGGTCCACCTGGCTTCTCAACATGGACGCCTGCTCGCCGACTGAGGTACGGACAGCACGAGTTCTTCCAGACGCCGTAAAATGTGCAACAGAGCCATTTCTAATCTCGTTCAACGTGCACAAGAGCGTGTGTGTGAGCTTGGAATGAGTGTGTTTAACTGAGTTTAAGCCACGACTGGTGAGAAGGCTGCAGACCGTTTGTGCACAGCGTCGTGCACAGCGTCGTGCACAGCGTTGCATCATGCATCTGTAGGAAATTAAAAAGGCAAACTAAATATAAAGATAAAATAAGTAAATGTTCCCGAACGCTCGTTTATCAAAGATTTAAGTGTCGCCACAACTCCAGCTGAAATATTTCAGTGTTTTGATTCTGTGCTTTTATTACGATCTGCTTCAGCGTAAGGCTCCGAGTTGTTGCTTCACGTTCACGCAGAGAAAAACTGAAAACCCAAAAAGAACCAACTCATCTGTTTAGCCACTTAATGGATCCTTCGTTTGGTTTGACGGCTGACTTGTTTCTTGAAAAACAAAATAAATAAAGCAAACACAGTTTTATCCCGTCTCCTTCAGAGAATAAGTTCTTTAACTTCTGGATTGTCCCAAACAACTGGAGCAGATCAGCGCTGAGCTCCAAACCATCTGTAACAAAAGAAGAATCCTCCTGAGCTGCTAAAGGAATGAACTACTGACTAAAGACTCCTGTGGTAAACCCGTGCTCCTGAACCCGACGCACCGACACGCGCTGCTGAGCCGGTTCTGGTCTCTGAGGATCACGGCGTGCTGACAGGAGATCCTTTCAGGCTGCTGAGCGCCGCGTGGATCCTGAAGTGCAGTCTGGACTCCATGGAGTAGTCCTTGTAGTTCGTCCTGGTCCAAAACAAACCGATCCTTTAATTAGAGGAGCGTTCAGAAACCTGACGCATGCAGTACAGATCTGCTCGCTCACTTTCTAAAGATTCAAGTCAAAATCTGCACAGGTGCCTGAAAAAGTACATTTGATCCTTTCAAACATTCCTCCCTGAGGGCGGGGCTTCTCGGGGCCCCCGAGGGGGCCCGGAGACATTAATCTGATGTAACTGGGACCCTGTGTACATAACCTCGTTCCACCACATGTACCACATGTGGTGTGTATGACAAATAAATCTCTCTGACTCTGATAATTAACAAACAGGTATTTTCACAACAGGCACACCTAGAAAGTAAGCAGGTGTGTCTCACAGGTGTGGACACACAAACACAAGAAACTTTAGCTACAGACAAAGAACTGAAAAAATGACCGAGTTCAGTAAAACAAACAAGAGCCGAAGCTTTTTATTACAGGACAACAACGCTAACATGGGGCACATGACATCTACAGATCTATATTTGTATAGATCTGTAGATTCTACAGATCTATACAACAATAGATCTATTGAATCTATACAACTATAGATGTATAGATCTATAGTTCTATAGATCTGTAGAATCTATAGTTCTATAGATCTATAGATTCTACAGATCTATAGATTCTACAGATCTATAGAACTATAGATCTATAGTTCTTTAGATCTATAGATTCTACAGATCTATAGAACTATAGATCTATAGTTGTATAGATTCTAGAGATCTATAGAACTATAGATCTATAGTTCTATAGATCTATAGATTCTACAGATCTATACAACTATAGATCTATATTTCTATAGAACTATACAGATCTATAGTTCTATAGAACTATAGATTCTACAGATCTATACAACTATAATTCGATAGAATTTATAGATCTATAGTTCTACAGAATCTATAGTTGTATAGATTCTACAGCTCTATAGTTGTATAGATCTGTAGAATCTACAGATCTATAAAAATGTGAAGCCTCGTGGAGACAGCAGTGGACTGATGGTCCTGATCAAGTCTGGACATTTACGTGGCGTTCAGATGGTCTACACTGAAGGAACGGAGGTTTATGGAAGTCCAGAAAGATTTGAGTTAAAAAACAGAACCTCGATCCCAAACACAGCAGAAAAGAACCACCGGTCCAGAGTCCAGAACCTGAACCGAATCTTGGAATCTAGCTTTTTTTTGTTGTTGTTTGTTTTTGTTTTGTTTTGTTACCTTTTCCTTTTAGCCATCCTACTTGTTAAAAAAATAAAAATAAAAAACCTGTAGTCTGACTTTTTATAACTGTTGTCCATTGTTGTCATCTTTCTTTGTTAAATCAGGTCTCTCTTGTAAATGAGTCCTCGAGGCTCAGTGGGATTTACCTGTAGAAATAAAGGTTGATTGATTGAACCGAACTGAAACACTCTGGTGGACCTTCAGAGCGCTGAGCAGGAATCTCAAAGAACTGAAGCAACCCTGTTAAGAAGAGTGGGTCAGAACTGCTCTAGAACCAGAAGAGAGGCCGGTGAGAAGTGAAGGTTCTGCTGCTGGAGGAGGTTCTGCTGATTTCAGGGCTGGATCTAGTTTTTGTTCATGAAATGACAATTCTGTAGAATCTGCTGTGTTTGGGTTCAGATCAGGCTCACTTCAGAACCCCATGAAGCCCAGATCAGGCTCATCAGGTCCTGATACGTCATGAAACCGGGCTGAGGTTTGTCCGGGCGAGCGCAGGTCTGCAGAGCGAGGCGTGACTTACTTGGCGTTCTCGATGCAGGCGGCGGCCCTGCTCAAGTCCCCCTGCTGCTTGTGGAGCAGACCGAGCTCGTAGAGCGTGAAGGGGATCAGGTAGTGGTCGAATCGGATCCGACTCTCACTGCGAGCGCGCACGCACACACGCACACACACACACACACACACACATATAGAACACGTGTCATCTGGCACGGCAACACAAGAGTCTGAAGCAGTGTGTGTATGTGTGTGTGTGTATGTGTGTTACCTGGACAGGACCTGTGTGAAGCACAGCTCGGCCTGCAGTAACCTGCCCAGGTGTTTCAGGCACAGGCCCTTCAACATCTGGACCAGACTGCTGTCATCTGGATGGAACTCTGACGGATCTGAACATCATGAACAAAACAACCGTCACTGTCGCTGCTTCAAGATAAACGTTCTCGACTGGGAAATGAAGAATTTACCTTCTGAATTCACGTATTTATGAAAAACATCAGCTGAAGGTTTATAGGAAAAGTCCGAGACAAAACAAAGTTCCTACAAAATTACAAACTGGATTTAAATCAAACTGTGACTACAACTGTTTGATGACCGACTGTTTAATTGTTAAATGTCGGCCATTTTTTCCAAGCCGGAGAATGAGAAGCAGCTCATGGTCGAGTTGTTGAAAGCAGGAATCTTCATGTCTCTCAGTTCATCTGAATCAAACAGGTTCATTTAAATAAAGCAGGTTTATATGTCTGTTCTACATTAGCCAACGTTCCATCAGCCAACCTGTTTTATATCAGCCACAGATGAAAACGCATTCACACCAAAACATTTTCCAATAAAAGATGGAGAAATGTTTACAGAACTTTGTTCATCTTCATGTTCCTTCACAAATACTGACACCTAACATCATTTGACTGGCTACGTTAAAAAAGAGTAACTTTAAAGTACTTCAGATTTTCAATGAGCTTTACAGTCTACCGTCAATTTTTTGAAGGTATTATTACTTTGCACGACATTAAAAGATTAGCTGCTTTTGTGAAGTTAGGTAAACTATTTGTAAATATTCTTATTACCTGAACCACAGATCCAGTTCATTTTTACCGTATGTGACAAGAAAAGTGTAAAGAATCATAGACCGAGCACATGACCCTGTGGAACTCCAGATTTCCGCACTTCTAACAGAACCACGGGTTGAAAGAGTAAACAGTGGTAGTGGTGTGCTTGTTCTTACTGGGGTCACTGCGGAGCTGCTGCTCAGCTTTCTCTATAGTAACCAGCAGAGACTCGGTGTGGTCGGACCTTTTCCCCACGATGGTGAAGCCGTTCCAAACGTACATCATCTCCTACAAACACAAAAACTACACATGCTTCATCTAAGTGAGGGATGTCATGAATATTTATGATCAAATGTAACATACCAGTGCAGGGATGACCAAAGGGATGGGATCAGCAGCTTTGTAGCGCCTGGACTTCCTCACTGCAAACTTCTCCATGGGGATGGACTTCCCTGCAAGGCGCTGTTTTAGTCCCTCCACCTGCCTGCACACAAATACACCGTTACACTCCGGACACACCATCACCGTTTGAACAAATACACTGTTACACTCTGGACACACTGCCACCGTTTGAACAAGTACACCGTTACACTCCGGACACACCGCCACCATTTGAACAAGTACACCGTTACACTCCGGACACACCGCCACCGTTTGAACAAGTACACGTTACACTCCGGACACACCGCCACCGTTTGAACAAGTACACCGTTACACTCCGGACACACCGCCACCGTTTGAACAAGTACACCGTTACACTCCGGACACACCGCCACCGTTTGAACAAATACACCGTTACACTCCGGACACACCGCCACCACCCTTTGAACAAATACACCGTTACACTCCGGACACACCGCCACCGTTTGAATAAGTACACCGTTACACTCCGGACACACCGCCACCGTTTGAATAAGTACACCGTTACACTCCGGACACACCGCCACCGTTTGAACAAATACACCGTTACACTCCGGACACACCGCCACCACCCTTTGAACAAATACACCGTTACACTCCGGACACACACACCGCCACCATTTGAACAAGTACACCGTTACACTCCGGACACACACACTGCCACCGTTTGAACAAATACACGTTACACTCCAAACGTTGGAGACGTGCGTCAAATGATAACCATTAAAATACGTCCACTGGTTCATAGATATTTTCCTAACAGAAGATGAATCAATGAAAAGCTTTTCTAACAACATCTGTTTGCTGGAGGGTTATAAAATATTTAGTTTGAAAAATAAAACATGTTTTATAAAACGCCCCAAATTAAAACAACAATCAAGAACATCCTGAACCTACAGGTTTGACTCCTTCTCCTAAAATGAAAATGTGTGAGTTTTATTTTGAAATGTGGAGGGACAGTGACCTGAAGAGCTCCACGAGGTCCTCCCCGGTTTTCCTCACGTCTTCCTCGGACATCATGCTGAGGATGGCTGCCTTCTGGTACACGTAGATGGCCTGTGGAGGACAGGACGGGCAGTCAAGTCCATTGTCTTCAGATCTTGCACGAGTCCAGAGAGCGTTCAGCAGACACACCCTGAGAATGGGCACACGTTGCAGAACGTGACCGGAGGAGCAGGCCGTGACTTTACCTTGGACCAGCGGCTCTCTTTGCACAGCAGGTCAGCGTAGCGGTAGGCCTGCTGCCACTCCTGCTGGAAGGAGTGGGTCCACATGAGCTCCCAGAAACACAGGTGGTGGATCTGCTTCCACTCCTGCTGGCTGCTGATGCACTCCTCGTAGCGGGCCCGAGCCTTCACAACACACATGGACACCAGCATCAGTTAGAGAAGAAAGGAAACAGAAGAAGCTGAGAGGGAGGAACAACTAATCATATCAAAGTTCCTGCTCAACCATCAGGTAGAGCAGTCCAACAACGTTCAGTCAGGTCCTCTGGACGGATGCTTTCAAAAGGCAAATGAGTCATAGTCTGAGCAGCTAGCTTACAGAACAGCTCAGCTTCATGACTGGACCACACTCTGTTCTTTGAAGTGAGGAAGCTCCTGAGATGACAAGAGGAACATCTTCAGTTACAATAAAGTCCAGATGTTTCTGTCTTTAAGCTTGTTTGGATCGTCTGAGGAGATCTGAACATTTAGAAAACTTTTTGAAAAATGAAAAAAAAAAGAATTCTGAAGATTTTATCTTCTTTATTCAGCTTTTCCTTCTTCAGAACACATTTAAATCATGTTTCTCACCAAGTTTGTGTAAATTCATCCGTGGATTTAAAGACATTTGAACTTTAATACACTTTAATACAGAGCGTCAGGTCGACACTATTTGTGTTTATAGAGAAATAAAAACCATGACCACTGGACTTTTTTACTTGTGTTCAACACGACTCATCTAAATGATGTTTCTCATGAAGATTGAGGACAATAAGGTGTGGGGGTTTAAAGACATTTCAACTTTAATGCACCTGAACACACAGAGTCTCTTACACCTGCAGCGACTTACAGCGTCACTAAGATAAAATGCTACAGACGTAGCTCCTCTCAAACATGAATATATGTTCATGAGGACCCCCCCCCCCCCCCCCCGCTCAACCACTGCCCGCACTAAGCTGCTAAACTGCCGAGCGAGTAACACAGGTACCTCCACCTCCTCCACCTGTGCGCGTTTTCTGCCGAGGCAAGAGGCAGGAAGGGACGGTGGAGAGTTGGAGGTAACCAGGAAAACCTGGAGTGGAGTTTTAGTAGCTTGAGTATTCTCCTATTAATCAAGTGGAATGGATTCGTTCATGAAGAAAGAGAAACTGCGCTGCCTGAACTAATGTTTCATAGTAAAAGTGGGGGGTTCAAATGAACGTTTTTTTAATGTGGGGGGGACTTGTCCCCTTCACATCCCCTTCACATATAATGGTTGTGACGCCTATGTTCTGTCTCCAGACCATATAACATAGCTGGTCTCACCACTGTCTTGTAAACTTTTCCTTTGACCTTTGCTGACACCCTTTTGTCACAAATCACTCCTGAAACTTTTCTCCATCACTCCATCCTGCCTGGACTCTCTTCTTCACCTCTTCACCACACTCCACATGTTCCTGGACAGTGGACCCCAAGTCCTTGAAGTCCTGCACCTCTTTTTCTCTTCGTCACAACAACAGTCATTCTACACACAACCATCCGATGCTGTCTGGCCACGCTCTCCCCTGCCACAACCTTACAGTCTCCAATCTCCCTCAGGTTTCCTCTTCTACACAGAATGTAGTCGACCTGCGTACTCCTTCCTCCACTCTTATAGGTCACTCTATGCTCCTCCCTCTTATGGAAATAGGTGTTGACTACAGCCATTTCCATTCTCTTGGTGAAATCCACCACCATCTGTCCTTCCTGGTTTCTTTCCTTGACACCAAACCTACCCATCACTTCCTCATCCTCTGTTTCCTTCACCAACATGTCCATTCAGGTCTGCTCCATCACCACTCTCTCCTCCCTGGGAATACTCTCTATCACTTCATCCAGATCTTTACAAAATGTATCTTTCTTCTCCACATAACATAAAACCTGTGGAGCATAACCACTGACAACATTTAGCATCAGACCTTCTACTTCTACCTTCAGACACATCACCCTATCTGACACTCTCTTCACCTCTACTACATTCTTTACCAACTCCTCCTTCAGGACCACCCCTACTCCATTTCTCTTTCTATTCACACCATGGTAAAACAGTTTGAACCCTGCTCCAATGCTGCGAGCCTTGCTGCCCTTCCACTTGGCCTCTTGGACACATAAAACATCTACCTTCCTTCTTAGCATCATGTCAACCAGCTCTCTACCTTTGCCTGTCATTGTCCCCACAATTAGAGTTGCAACCCTCAGTCCTACATTCTTCACTTTCCTCTTCTCCTCTGTCTCCTGACACGTTTCCCTCCTCGTGGTCTTCAACTAACAGTAGCACAGTTTCCTCCAACACCCTGTTTGTCAACAGCACCGGTGGTGGTCCTTGTTAACCCGGGCCTTGACCGATCCGTATGGTTTCACTTTGATGAACTCGCATTATTGTTTTGGCAAAAGTGTTTTACATCGGATGTCCTTCGTGACACAATCCTCATCATTTACTTGAGCTTGGGACCAGAACCTGAGATACACTGACTTGTTTATATATTTCAAATATATTGCAACATTGATATTATTTAATTTTAAAACAGTTACAAAAGTTTTTAAACTTTGTAATAAAATCAGATAAATAAATGAACAAACCTTCTCAAAGTTTCCACGGAGAGTTGAAATGCGAGCCGAGTAGAAGAGAATAATAGAACCCTTGAAAACAAAAATAAAAAACATGATAATTGTAAAATTATGTCATTTAGAAAAAGTTTTTTAGTTTTTTTCTCCTAAACTCAGGGAGTAAAAATAATCTTACTTTGGGGTATTTTTGCTGGTATGGCTCCAGCAAAGTTTCAGCCTCCAGCAGGTTCCCCTCTCCGGTTCCTTATTAAAGAAAAAAAACAAAAAAAAGTTGAATAATTAATTTGAATGACTTGTTTGAAGCAGTGCTTACAGAGCCCGTAACATTTAAGTCAAAGCGTTTTCCTACCCAGGATCAACGAAACGTAAGTGTTGTAGAAGAGCAGGGTCAGAACGCAGAGGATCGAACGTAAACTTTGGCTCGACGCCCCCTCTCTCAGCTGAGATAAACCAAAACCCTGTAAACAGAAACAGGCAGGGCGGGGCTTAAATTTAAAAAATAAAACACGCAGTGTCATGTTTTTGTGTTTAAAACTGACCCTGTTTCCTGAGAATCCAATAAACTCCAACAACCTCAAAATCCTCTGAGGGAGGAGAGACAGCATCTGAAAATCAAAGAAACCACGTTTTAGTGAAAGATCAACAATAAAAACACGATTTGAATCAGACATTCTGTGGAAATAAGAGCATCTATGTATACGTCGATATGCTGATGATATGCTGCTAAATTTAGCAAACCAAATTAACTCCTTTTCTCAGAAACAAATCATACAGATCAGGATGGTTTTACAGGACACCTGGATGTTTGATTTTATGATTTTAAACCTTTTCTTGTAAACCCACCAAATTAAAAGAGCCGATTCCCAGCTTGACTCCGCCCTCAAACTGTTGGAATGAGTTGGACTGCCCCGCCCGGTCTGGAGTGATGTTCAGCACATTCCGACAGTCCCTTTAAAAAACAAACGATGTTACAAACAATTAATTCTCGTTCAAGCTTCAGTCTCTTGGCTAGTTTGTCAGAGCACCTCCTGAAAGACATCATGGATCAAATCTGAGATGCTTGGATGGTTTTCAGTCACTCACTTGTAGATTTGGTAGCTTGTTCGAATCTTGATGCCACCTTTTATAAAACTGATCATGTTCTCATCCTGGGCAATAAATAAAGACAGAAAATGAACAAAGCAGAATAAAAGGAGCAACCTGAAGCTGCTGAAACAGATCGAGGGGTTTTATTTTGTGTCTTTGTCTTCATCTAATGTTGCGTTTGACCCACAGACTCATTTGAAGTGTAAAGAAGAAGCTGATCAGAGTTGGGATGAGTTCTTTTCTTGTCCATATCTTACACTCACTGGATGGAAGGTTGTGGCTGATTTTCTTTGTTCCTGCAGATGTGGCCAGATGTTTTCTACCCCTCACAGGCACCAGTGCCATTTTATTTTTGAACTTTTGACAATACCATGACAACATAGAACGTGAATGAGAACGTGAACGGAACAAAAAAACGTGAACGTTTCTTCATTGGATGAAAGACACCATCAGATCATATCCACCATGTAAGTGTCGGTGACAAACTTTTTCTTGCTGCTTTCCTTTTCTTTCTGTTCTTTGCTGCTTTGAGACACCAGATGTGGAAAAATGCAACGCATATAACTCTATGCACACACATGCGCAGCGACAAGTGACTTTTCTTTAAATTCACATCTTAGATTCAAACAGAGGCCTCCAGGCCAACAGACAAAAGTAGAAAACAGGAATTCTGACCTGTATAAACGTCAGCGTTGCTTTCTGCAGGAGACATTCGGCGTAGCAGAGCTCTGCGTGCATCTCCTCTGCAAACACAGCACATGGACTTCCCACCATGCTTCACTCTATGTCCTTCTTCTTTACACTGCATTTCTCTGCTGCTAGTAAAACTCTGCGTATGCAGGGGACACCTACCTTCCTGCAAGTTGGACTGCTTACTGATCAGACTGGACAACGATCCAACCATCGAGTTCCTCTTTCTGAATCTGCAGAAACATCACATTGAACATTTATACTTGCAGTGAGGCTCAGCCATGCACAAAACCAAGACTACATTCAACCACCGGTCATGGTACAAGCGAGTTGACACAGCTGCCATTTATATCCATGCATCAGACGTGCTGCGCTCACCGCCGTTCTCCTAAACACTACTGAGAAATATTACAGCAGAAAAGACACCAGAAGAAGAGCTGCACTGTGTCATCACATCTCCATCTCTCAAGCTCTTGTGCCATGTTTAGGTTCTGCAACAACCATACGTGGTCCAAAAACAGGCAGACAGGAAGCTGGAGGAGTACTGAATGTTGTGGACAATGTTCTGCTGAAGAACAACTTTGTGGATGTTGGTTTACTGTGTAGGGGTTCTTTGTCGAACACTAAACAACTACAACAAGAGTCGCCACATGTTTCACACTAGAAGTGACACGCTCACCTCTGACAGGTCTGTAACGCCTCCTTGATGGCTGTCATGGCAGACTGGATGTCTTTGTGCTCGAAGGTCATGGTCGCCTGCATCACCAGGATGCTGCTGTAACCCAGCGCATGGTACATACTGTCCTTCCACCTGCACACAGTCAAATACAGGTGGGCCCCTTTAATACCCTTCAGGTAACTACACCTTCAGGAGTAGAACCACAACTACGTGGCAATAAGAGTCACTCAGGTACCGCCGGAGGGGGTGTCCAACTCCAGCAACAGGACTAATACCAGCAGCTCACACATCATAGTCAAAGTAAGAGTAGTTCAGGTTTATCAGTGGAACCAGCAGTGTTGGAGCACCACGACCAGTGACAGCTGGAAACATTACGAGCAGCAACTGGATCAAGTCAAGCCAAGTCATATTTATTTATAGAGCAGAACTAGTACGGCTCTTTTCTGACGAGTGTGGATAGGCCTGTCACAATAACAAATTTTTCTGGGCGATTAATTGTCTCAGAAATTATTGCGATAAACAATAATATGGTTTGAAATTCAACAATAATTAGTAATTGTCAAATTTTAGAAGAAATGTTGATTTGTTTTGAGTGTAGTACCTTTTTTGACCACCCGATGGCAGTATAAGACAGTTTGAACCAAAGGATGGATAGTTGAGCAGTGTGTCTCTAAGAAAAATGGGAGGGAGGGCCCTTGACATGACATGGGCTGACATGCTGACATGGCAGACGCTCGGCGGTTTGAGCTCTTTAGCATTTTTCACACAAAGCTTTTAATAAAAAAATCAGTAAACAACTTCTCAGATTAACAACAAAAAAGGTTGAATCATGTCATCTGGACTTCGTTTTTTTTGTTAAAAAGAAACGTTTCGCCCCTCATCCAAGAGGCTTCGTCAGTCTGAGGCCTAGCCATCTGGTATTACCCAGAAGCCACCCTGA